CCCCCCCCCCCCCCCCCCCCCTCCCCCTACCTCTCAGAACACCGCGGCGAAGTCATTGCTATACGAGTGCATCCACACGATGACGCTGGCCCTGCCGTTCACTAGAAAGGCAGACGGGACGGAGAGCAAGGCCGTCCCCGCGGCGGTGCGGCTGTGCTCGCAGCACCTGAGGAAGTTCACGGAGGACCCGGACCAGAACCTCAAGTATTTGGTGAGTGAGGCTTTCGGGGCCTGACGGGGGTATTTGCCTGCTTTGCGCGCGTTTGGTGGTGGTTGGGGTGGTGCTGTTGGTGTCGTTGGCGACGGAGCTGTTGTCGCTCGCTGTGTTGACGCCGCTGCTGCTGCTGCTGCTGGTGTGGCTGCAGTTACTGTTGCTTCTGTCATGGATGTCGCTTCCCTGCTGGTGTCGCTGGTTTCATTGCTGCCTGATGCTCCTCAACTTCAGCTGTACCCTCGGTTCCCTCCCGAGACACACTGCATCTCTCCACGAAAAATCACGCCGTTCGTCGACTTCCGTTGCGCCCTGGGCGGTCTGATCCCTCAAGCCTTCCGCCGTTGCCGTCTCCGCGCGCGTGTGTTTGTCATCGTCCCCATGAACGAATCATCTCAAGGGATTGGTGGGCTTCGTGAACCTGATGCGATCTCACCCCAGGGCAGTGGCGGAGCACCGTGCTTTGGTGCTGGCTTGCCTTTCGGATGATGACGTCACCATCAGGACCAGGGCGCTGGAGCTTCTGACCGGTGCGTCCTCTTTCCGTCCGTTGTGTGGGTGTGTCGTCGTTGTTGTTGTTGCTGTTGTTGTCTAACAGGCAATTAAGAACCGGTGATTGCTCAGAACCTTGCCAACACCCGTACCGGTCCACCAACTGACTGAGTGGACGCCTTCCATGCTCAAAGGCCAACTCCCCCACACAGGGTATACAGTTGTAGAAGTAAAACAACAGGCGTGGGGGATGAAAAGGGAACGGGGGCACTGGAAGCGAGAGATGGGCTTAGTGTATGTTATGTTTGTGTTGCAATCTGTTTCACCAGCGGTCCCTATATCAAGGCCGGTCGCCCCACAAGGCTGGTGAAATTCCATACCATGTACGGAAAATTCAAGTGGTCTCATGCTCGAATAGTGCGGGCTGCCCGGTATTGCAAGGCCGGCCAAAACCCTCACCACTCTGCCGCCTTTTTCCGGGACCCACTACACCTGCCTGTATTGCTTACCTTCGTTTCGCGGGCAGTTTGGCCCTGGAAGTATGGTGACGACGTTGCTGCAAGTGACGCAGTCCGTTGCTGGTGATGAAATTCCTACTTTTCCTCGATTTTTTGTCTCTGTTCCCGTGTTGTTACGATGGTGTGAAGGCATGGTCACGAAGCGGAACTTGGAGGACCTCGTGCTCAACCTTCTTCAGCACGTGGCGAGGGCGGAGGGCACCTACCGCGACGAGCTCATCGCGAAGATTATCCTTGTGTGAGTCTTCTTGATCTGTTCCTTGTGTGAGTCCTCTTGATCTATTGATGCCGGTCGTCAGAGATGGTACTCGTGGGAGTGCTCTTGCGGCGTTCTTGAGAACCCTGCACGTCACGCGTAGCACCGACCTTACGAATACGTGGTGCGACCTACATGCGGGTTTTGGGGCAGCGCAAGATGTCTGGAAGGCTGTGGGAGAGTCGACCACGAGGCAGAAGGTCATCGAAGATGCCACATCTCGCGTGGAAACCACCTCACCAATCCGCTGACGCCGAACCTAGGGGCGGCGACCGCAGGGTCTGTGTTGGCCATGTTCACTGACGTCCTTCCCAAAGCACACGGGGTACCAAAAGAGTTGTTTGCCGCGGATATGGCGAGATTCGAAAAGACGGTCTACACCGTTTTCGTCCGGCAGCATCGGAGGTACATAACGGATATGTTTCGTACTCCCTGATTGCGTGGGAGTTTCAGCATAGGGGTGAGTCGTTGTTGCGTTCCCAGTCGTGTTCGTTTCTATTCGCAGAATATGCTGACCTGGCGCCTTTTACGGCTGCGACCGTGGCACCAAGTCAACCGGCTCCGCGTGCGGCTACTCCGTCAGCCAAAAGAGGCACCGAGGAACAGCGCCGTCGATCTCATCTGCTACGTTTGCAACACCTTGGCGCACATGATCACAAGGCCATGACGCACCTTTTTTTTATCTCCGACTGCGAACCTGTGCGAACCTGTACTGTTGACGTGTATGTATGTCAATCTACTGCTTACCATACTCCCTCTGATCCTTGATCTCTGCATACTTCACCACATGTCAATGTTGTTGTCAACAAAACTTCAAACTTCCATAATTTAGCTACGGATGTATGTAACGCAAAGACAGCCCCCCCGCGGAGCACCCCTCGCAGTATCCATCATCCTTGCGGATGCCCTTTGCACCCTCGCTTCTTAACTTGCAATTGATTTTGTTGGTGCCGAGATCTAGTGGACTGTTACGTGAGACTGGTGTCAAGACTCGCCCCTTGGTCTTGCGCTCTCGTTTCAAGCACCTCGTCCTCCGAGCTCTCGACATGGCCGTTTGGCTTTAGTTTCTGCCCACGGGCAGATGTTGCTCCTTCTGTATTCAAGCAAGGATCGTTCGTGTGTGCATTTAAAAACATACTTCGAAGTATGTATCCATCTTTTATACCGATATTTTCCGGTCGTCTTCCTCTCTTCTGGCACCCTCCCTGGTTTTCTGTCGTGTGTCTGTCTCTCCACCTCCTTCCGTACTACACTCCTTTGGTTGCTCAGCAATCACGTGTAGTGTATCAATCCTTCTCAATATCTACGGTACAACATAATCGCGAAAGTGTGAGAATATGTGCCCCCCCCCCCACCCGGTGTTTACCATCGGGGTTGGGTTTTCGTCGCTTGGCAACGACGTTGTAAAACAAGCCGCCCCCCCC